AAGGTCATAGAGTGATCCAGCGAATACTTAAGATAATTTTATTTTTTGTCATTGATTTAATTTCACATTTTTTCCTCTTTATCGAGTTGAAGTAGTACCACCCGGTTTTGGGTCAATTTATCGATTTTGTCAAATTGTTATGCATTCACCGTCACTGAAAAATAATGTGGCAATGGCGTTCCGTTAGAATACTTATATTAGATATTATGTACCGGATGGCGAAAAAATTTATAGCTAAAGCTAACAAGATGAATTTCTGGAAATTATTTTTAAATTTCTTTTTATTGGGTAATAGCTCTTTCTTTTCTACACTTCTGTGAAATAGCATTTTCTTGGAAATAATTAGCAACAAATTAAATTAAAATATTCTTAAATTTGGAAATAATTGAAAAATTCATGAAAATTTGGTCCAAAATCTCTCTCTTTAAAGCAGGATTTAAAGTAACGGGCGCAGTAAAGAAGTTCAAGGGCAATTTCTTCAGCTCGATTTCTAACACAAATTAAAGGTTTTTTGGCTGGTCCCCTGCTTTATAACTGTGCTTCCACTTCGACCCTTGCTTATGTGGGGTATTTCGCCTTTGATTTGAAGCCTGGATTTCCTCGGATCGTTCACAGAAATTGATTCCTTGACTTAGGACTAGTATTTAAATCATTTCTTTCATTTAATTATGAGATTATCCGCGAATCTGAGAATTAATGGAAACATGCGAGTTATAGCAGTTTGTTCTTCTTCATCTTGACAAAATCTTAAAATTCGAGTCCTTAAATATTTGGATATGACTCCTTTATCCATTTTATTTTCTAAACTTAACGTTAACAACACGGTAAGTTGCAAATTAAGATTTCCACCAGACCACTACATCAATACACAAAAGGCAATAAACTATTTCTGTAGCAATACTTTTGAATCTCAAAAAACAGCAAACAAATATTATCGCAGCCAACTCAAAAAGTAAAACGAACCATGTTTTCGTATTTCTCCAATTTTTTGATTTGTTGCAATACTTATGTCAAGTACTGCAGCTTACAGAACTTATTTTTGGTATTTAATTAAATACAAGTATTTTAATTAACAGTATACGGATACAATCTAACTGTCGTCTGGAAGCCTGCTTGCCGCATAACGAAGGCTTAACGCGATAAAAAAAAACGATCGCAATTACGACCGGAATTTTGCAAACGTTTCCTTTCCTGTACCTACGACAAACGCGAAATTGTCAAGCACGATCACATGCGTTACGCGGAATCTTTTTTTTTCAAATCTACTTTCATCGATGTAACCGCGACGGCTTCTGGACTAATTAAAGGCTTTCGAGGCAAAACACACGACAAGCAATTGGTTTTACCCGACAAGCTAGAGTGAATGGGACATGGATTTGAGAACACTAAAAAGAAGCATGCCCACATAAGATGTGAACTATCTATTTGAAATGCTAATAGAAAATTGTTATAAATGAGCTTCCGAATCTGTCCATCTGGGGATTTTTTCAAAAGTGACTATTCTCTATATGTTAACTCTAGAGGGCAAAAATATTATATTCCTTGGAGAGGTTTATTCCCTCCTCGCTGCTTAGTTCACTGTTCTTGCGCACTGGTTCGGAGGCTTTTCATAAAGAGCATTAAAACTATATGTTTTGCTTGTATGCACTCTCGAATTTCATATGGGATCATAATTAAAAAAAAGAAGTGCACTCTCAAGATGCATGCCATGGTACTCTGAGCATCTCTATATATATAGTTCCTTTTGTATATTATTTGCTGCTGATTACGTGCGTTAAGTCTTTTTAACAACTCTGTATTATCTTTAACAGGGCAGAACTCGGTATCCCTGTACTCAAGTCAACTCTTTTGAAAGGGATTAGCATACCAATTTTTATCTAGCGGCATAGTTATGGTTGAAAACAGAAAGAAATTAAAACTAAATGTAGTCAAATTCTTAGAACATAAATGACTTTGTACTATTTTTTTAAATGTGCAATTTTATTCTACCAGGTGTTCTTTATATTTTTTGTAATGTGGTGAATGTTTAATCACATTACAACCGGAACAAAACGTATCCAACAAATAGTCCTTATGAAGGAAGTAAGCTATGCGATAAAAGTCAGCTATGACTTTGAAATCCTAAAATGCATCAAAAAAGTCAAACTCGAAATAAAACTTAAAAATCCACTAGAACTGAAATGAAAAAATTCATATTAAGAACACGTGGCATCCTAGATTGTACAGGTGGGGTGAGAAATATTAAAAAGCAAATGGCGGAAATTATTTTTAAGTTTCTAGAACCACCACCAAGGGCCGTAATTGCATCCTTGAATTGAATTAATGTAAGTCCTATGCATATATGCATATTTTTTTCGATTTTTGACCCACCCCACCTTGTCTGTGGAGACTTTTTTTAATCCCTATATGTGACTTGATTTTCAGGTATTCTTTTTTATGCTTGCTAGGATTATTAGACCAAGTGATACCTCAGTTTCGTTTCCAAGTTACTATTCTTCCAAAGTAACAAAATAATAATAATTTCTCTAGGGTTTGTATAAACTATAAGATATATTTCATAGGATACTGAATTTCTAATAACGTTCTACAAAATGATTAAATACAACTTAACTTAAAATAGTCCATTTTTAAACGACAGTTTGGTGGCAAAACAGTTCTATTAAAAGTTGATACAATTTTTAAGTGACAGTTGTAAACAAACATATTCAACTCTATAAAATGAGATTAAAGCTGCACTATAAAAATATTACAAAATGTTTGTATAGTGCATTGTATTCTTTATATAAGACTGTTATTATGAGCACACATTTTATCATTTAGTAGTTTAAGAAATCCTTTTATATCATAGCGAAGAATATTGGACTAAACTGCATTGTAAGCGTATTATAATATAAATTTTGGGTTGTGCATTTAAAACGTGGACACTCTCCAACGAATTATATCGGTTTTAAAAATGACAGAGCCAGTACGGTGTAAAACATATTTTATAAAATCGTTTGCAAACTTCGGAGAGCGCAAATTTTGATGTGCCGCAAATTTTACTAATTGACTGTATTGGCAATAAAATGAAGAGCTCCAATTTTGATTGTTTTATGAAATATTAAAAAATGTATATATGTATATATTTTTCACTTAAAGTTCTTTTTCAGATATTAATAGGTTAATACTGCATACGAGAATTCATTCACTGCATAAATCGCCAAAGATGGCCAGATTTATTTTGATAAGAATTAAAACTTTCATAACAGCTCATAATAATTTAATAGCAATTAAAGCATTCGAAAATCGGCCTGAGCCGAGGCTAAGTACTTAATTAGGCTGTACTTTTAAAATTACTAAAATCCAAGGGAATGATTATAGATATCGACGACTGTGTATTTTAAATGTCATGTCACAAGCATGAAAATACCTACGATATCCATATCCATCGTTTGCTCTATGCGATATCTTCCATATTTTTTCCGCACGTAAATAATAAAATAAAATTCGACGAAACTGAGTGTTTTTGCATTATCATCTATGTATAATATACCAGTTAAATAGCACATGCGACATTCCTTACATTGAAATTATTATTGATGGATGCAAAATATTCAACAACGCCTTATTGTTTAAGTCAAGAGATCTTATAGTCCTTATAAATTCAGGAGAATACAATAGAATAATTAAATTACATTCAATGCAATATGTAGGAAATTATTAAACTTCAATCAAAATCTGACATACAAATAAAAAATAAAAAAATAAATATTAAGTAACCGAACCACCCTCTATAAACTTTACGCCTTAAATAAATGTGTAAAGAACAAAATACGTAAAATTTTCTTCCAAGTATGCAATTTTTAGGTCAAGTTGACAACCATGCTTGAAAAAGTTTAAGAAGGTGTACCAACGCGCCCTCTACAGGCGGTGGTGGGATAAGATATGGCATATCATCTGATATCATTGCATTATTCGGTTGTTTAACGTCGTTTGGTTGGGTGCCAGATTTGGGACATCCATATCAATACCATTATTGTCTGGTTTGTCTTGTGTGATTGAAGGAGTGATGTTTTGAAGCTGATATTTTTTCTTACAAGCTCTTTTTAAATTGCCACTAGGTTTATTAATTTTTTCCACTGAGAGTTCATTACAATAGCTGTTGCTTAAACTAAATTTCTCATTCCACAAATTTAAATATCTTGGTGCCAATATGTTAGTTTACGTTCACTTTATCCTATAAAGCATTTATAAAGGTCTTAGTATGGTATCCGAAGTTAAGTTGTTTATAATTGAGGGCAATTATTTTACAACATGAAACAACTTTAAGTTGGTTTAAATGGTTGAGTAACTACTTTATAATGCTGTTGCTAGTACATGGCATATTATAAAGCCAATGCAATAGGTATACAGGTCTTATAAAATTCGATTTTTGAAACTGTATAAGCTTGCTTATAAAGTATTATATCTTTTTAAAAGAAATTTGTGCATAATGCGTTATATGACATATTGGACAACCCACTATAAAATCACTTGATACAACTATTTTTGTTGAAAAAAAAACAAAACAATCGCAGCAAAAGGCATCACAAAAGTAACCAGTTCTGAATACAACGCTATCCGACTGTTATAGGACACATTTAAGAATTCAATTTTGCTAGTTATGTTAATAATTTTCCAATATCTGGAATTTGGAAACTGGTCTAACTTTTTTCCCTACCATATTTTCAATTATAGTAATCATTTGGTTATATTCAGCACTAGATTAAAATCGGAAACTATTTATTGAACAATAAACAGCAAAAAAATATAAGATTCCAAAAGTATGTAGTCCATTAATCTTACGGTGGCATAGTGCGGTTTACAAATTAAGGTGCTGATCTTTACTTATATATTAATTTGGCGCTAAATATTAAAAATGTCATAATTGAAAAGATGACTTACTCAACGGAGGGAAATAACGAACTAACCACAATATTTTATGAAACATGGCAATCGAATATGAATACGTTCGTTTTCAGGGAAACGTCATGAAGCCAAATATTTTCGTTTGGTTGGTGTTCAAGTGGACGCTGCTGTTGATGAAGACGCTAGGTACTTCGGTTGTTTCTTCGTACGTAGAAAACTCACTCGATTTCCCTTCAAAGGAGAGCGGAAATCATTTGAAGGATTACGTGACCGTTGTTTCTTTAACGCAGAAAGGTTATATCCAGGTAGGGCTTGATGTTGTTTAAAATCGACTTAAATTTTAATGAATGGTTTTAGTTTTTGAAATATGATATTGAAGTGCCGGAGATGAACGAGTATACTTTCTGCTTGTGGTTTCGAAGCAGTAACTTAAGCTACAGTCATCCGTTACTGTCCTATTCGAGTAAGTATTTCAAGTAAGCATTTAAATAGCGCCGCTTCCGGTATCCCACAAAGTCCAATCAATTAATTGTATTTATTAATGTCATTCAGTAGAGATCTTCATATCAGTTTTGCCTTCAAAAGTGTATTTGTTTTAGTTGTTCCATGCATGAATTTCATTACTTAAACCGTTTTTTGACTATATTTTGACACACAAGTCCATATATTTGGATATAATTACTAATAATAAATAATAATTGTAACAATAATATCAATAATAATAATAATCAAAGCATTTTATCAGAGATTATTCATAGCTAACCTGTTAGGTATACAAAGCATAATTATAAATAATAAGGTTTACAAATAAAAAAATAATAACACAAACATACCTCTTATATTTATTTACCAGAGACAACATGCACACACATACACACATACACACACACACACACACACACACACACACACACACACGCAGGCACGCACACGCACACACACAGGAGAGATAACTCATTTACAACCCTTAAATTTGCAGTATGTTGCCTGTACCTCACAGTAAGTTTTTCACGCAAACGCCAAGGTGTATTAGTAGTGGTGTAAAAAAATTTGTAAATAACGTCGTAATAGTCAATAACAGACAAGACGAGACTCTCGTACAGCTTGTGACTTTAAATTTCATTATACTTATATTTTTTTACAATGTTCTAAGAGCTGAATATGATCTATTGAGTAAAAAAAGAGACTTTTGATATTTTGTTCAGTTCACTATTTATTCCAAAGCTCCCTCAGTTGTGTTAAAGGTCTTGATGATCTCAGCATTAGAATTTTAGAATCACGTTCTGAACGCGGTTAGTAACTACAACTGTATCAAATCCACAAAAAGTGAGCTTTGCGTGATGGAGCATATGAAATGCTTTTGAAAAGTCAAGAAATATCAGACCCGCTGATAGCCAAAGACGTAGTCATTTAGTTTGTTACATCGAGGAGAGCAGAGGTGCCCCTTTCTGAATCTCGACTGCAAGTGTGAGACAACAAAATCATTTAATTCGGGTTTTCATGTGGATCGCTTACTTTTGGTTTATGGGTTTAATGAACGAAATTTTAAATGAAGACGGAAAGTAGCCACCATGAGGTGAGATAATTAAGGAAGAACTGAATATTTAATCGTCTGGGCCCTAATTTCATAACTTACTTAAGCATTAGACTTTAAAGAATCAATAACTTTACTGACCTATTGAATGGATCCTAAACGCAAAGAAAACATTACATTTCCTGCTAAGATTTCCTAATATATATATATATATATATATATATATATATATATATATATATATATATATATATATATATATATATATATATATATATATATATATATATATATATATATATATATATATATATATATATATATATATATATATATATATATATATATATATATATATATATATATATATATATATATATATATATATATATATATATATATATATATATATATATATATATATATATATATATATATATATATATATATATATATATATATATATATATATATATATATATATATATATATGCCAAGATGCCAAGTGAGATTTTGGCGAAACGTCTGCAGGATTCCAGTCGGATGCAGGATTTGCAGGATTTATATATATATATATATATATATATATATATATATATATATATATATATATATATATATATATAAATCCCACTGGCACTTGGCATCTTCAATGCTCTTCGGCTCTTCGAACACTCGGAGCGCGAGCATTGAAGATGCCAAGTGAGATTTTGGCGAAACGTCTGCAGGATTCCAGTCGGAGTTATCCGTGAATCAATACGTGATAATATATATATATATATGTATATATATATATATATATATATATATATATATATATATATATATATATATATATATATATATATATATATATATATATATATATATATATATATATATATATATATATATATATATATATATATATATATATATATATATATATATATATATATATATATATATATAATTTGTCAAAGATTGTATTGGCATATCGCACTTCATTTTATTTTTAATTTAAATTTTAAAATAATTTTATTTGAGCATGACCCTCTAGTTGCTTAATGCTGATGGGCATTAAGTAATATTCCCAATTGATGGTTCTTCCAGTCTTGTCTTTTTCAATTTGTATTATTCGAATTAAAACTCAAAATTAATGAGTTGTTTTTGGTAACACCGGCTGAGATAAAAACCTCTACAGCAAATTTTAAAATTCATGTTTCTGTTTGAATTTTCTCTTAAGAAAGCAATTTATTATAAGTGTTAAATATTTTTGACCTTCATCAAGCAATATTGTTAAGATGAAGTACACAGAATTGCACAAAAATGTAAGGAAACCTATTAACATCTTTTGAGATATTGAAAATGGCCATCTCACCCGCTGAACTATCTCCTAACTACAGTTCCTTATTTTTATTTTATTTATAATGATTTTTAAATTCAAAGAAGTCCACCATACTGAACTATGGTTTATAACTTTTTAATTTTTAATCCGATTTTCATGATTTTTTTACCAGTTAGTGAATCAAAATGTTGATTTTTGTCATTTCTTCAAAACAGCCATTGCAAAAACTAAGGAGGATAATTTGGTTTACAAACTGTTTACTGAAATCTGTTAGGTATTTTCTCCTTTTACTTTCTTTTTTATGTATTATGTTTGTTTTTGTATCACAGCATTATCTCAGTCCTTAATGACATGATAATTTTACTCTGGTTTTTGGAAAATGCACATTTATGTTGTCACTTAAAAATCATCGACGGTGGCTAAGTATGCGATTGTTGTGACAGAATATTTTACAGTGAGTCGTCGTGGTATTACCAAAGTTTAACAAAGTTTGGTAAACTCTTTAGGTCATCACTTTATTAGGCACTCGTGGCTTGTGACTCAAATACTGTTTACCACACTTGTTGTATATTACTTCATTATGAGAGAGTTTTCATTTTTCGCAATAAGCCCTAAATAAATTTCAAGTTTTTATAGTAAATGTATCTCTTAAAAGTTCTGATAATAATTCAAAAAACAACAATTTGAAAAGCAGCCAGGGCGTTTTACTTTTGTATATAATTTAAAAATTTAAATTATCTGACGGTAAATGAGTCACGAGTTTATTTGGCACGAGTGAAGCAAGTGCTTAATAAACGAGTTCGTACAAAGGCCTGACCACTTTTTTCCATATTATGATAAATACCGCGTGTGATTGCGATTTATTGACAAACTGCTTTTCTTACGTCGGAACAATTATTTCCGTTATTACAATTCCCATTAAAAGTCGGAAATTTCATACCCCACGAATTAGCGTTTTCTGCTACACACGCGTATCGTAAAACTGGAAGGAAATTAAAATAAATATTTTCGCCGTTGCACTCTTTATCGTGCCAGATTAATAGCAAAAATCAAATTTATCGTTAATTTAAATCAGGCCTCGCGACGTTTTCCGAATAGTTGAGCGCAATTCTGTAATTTTCTTGTTAATTTATTCAACGTTAATGCGGGACAATATGTTGTGACATTACGTACTTATATAGGCACGCTGTCACGCTGAAACTAGATCAATCAGCGGTTGCGAAATAGTACGTGGCGTTTCACGCATCTGTGGGCAAAGCTACGCTTAACATTTTTTTCAAGAAAGTTTTTAATGCCAATGTTAATACTACTGTTTACGGCACGTTGCAAAAGAATAAATTACCGCGTCTGCGAGGTGCCTATTAAATAGGAAATTAATCGCTTAGATCTTCCAACAGGTATTAAAATTCTTTAAGGATTTTACTTCCACATTGATTCTACAACACAGCAAAATATCTAGCTTCTACATCTTCTTATTCTTCTCTGTCTTACTAAAGTTCCTATTCCTGAAAGCCTCAACATAAATTCAGATATAGTAAATTCCGAGATTCTGGAACCACACCTTCTCATCTTATTTGAAAAATGCTTACTTGGAACATATTTTTGTTGCGACGGTCAAATTTATTAACAAATGTCAGGAACAGCTATGGGTTCTCCATTATCACCAGTCATCGCAAACATATTTATGGAAGGGTTTGACACTTTCCATCCAAAACCAAAACCATGGAGACTCTACCGTTGATGATGCTTTTGTTATTTAGCCTCGTGGTCAAGAAGCCCTTTGAGATTTTCTTGACCATTTAAACTCTATACACCCTAACATACGTTTTACCATTGATTTAAACATTAATCATAATCTTCGATTCTTAGATCTTCAAACCTTAACGCATTGTCACAGCTGGTCCAAAAGTCATCGGTAAGCAACTATTTGGTTACAGAGCTGTAAAAGTATACTTCACCACAACCTTCCAAAAAAAAAATAAGTCTGGAAGCAATCCCACCTCCGTTCAAACCTCCTTACCTCGCATTCAAAATATCACTGACCACGTATCAAACGTTCTTAACAAACATAATGTTAAAACCAAGATAAAATTCCGTTTTTACAGCATTCTTTTCTTTTATTTTCACCAGTTTAGAAATTAGTATTACAACAAAAGCCAGAAGATATATAACAATGGTTGAATGTTCATTGTTCTGTGTTGAAATCATTACACATGTGTTCATGATTAAACGATATTATTTATGGATTTTTATCTTTCGATTTTCGATGAACCTTGTCAAGTATGTACCGAAGAGTTTTAATTTTCTTCTTGGGCACAAATGTTCCTTAATACGGCGGAACACCTTCGATCGGTTCTATCAAATTTATTTATTCAGGGGCTACTTTGGTTGATTTCTTTCCAAACCAAACCAAACCACATACGTAATTTATTTTTCATAAAGTACCTATTACGGCGGATTAATGATAAATAAATGCAGGTAACTAAAATCTGATTTGTGGGAAATGATTTTATTATTTCATAAAAATCAATATAGCTTAATTATTTTGTCGTCACGCAACGTATTTAATTTCTATTCCCATCCATCATGTTTTATGATATCGTTTCTTACTCTTTCCCTTAGTGAAATGTGCACAGATCTCTTAATTGCATCCGTTTTAACTGACTCAACTCCTTCCTTGTGTTTATTGGAAATTCTCCAGTTTTCTGAACCATACACAATGGTGCTTTTAACAATTTCCTCGTAGATATTAAATTTCCGTTTCTTGATAATTTCTTTGTTCCTGGGTATTCCATTCAGAGGTCCCATTAGTTCCTTGACTGTTCTGGCGGTGTCGAATCTAATGCCCAGATATTCATATTCCGGACAAAGAAGGATATTTTGGGGATTGTTCAGTTGAAAGTGTCCTTCCCTCATTTTTTCTTGGCTAAGTTGACTGTCAAGCCCCATTCTCTATTAGCTTTGGAATTATTAAATCATCTTTATCACCGCCTATTGTGACTTGGTCTATGGCGAACTGAAGATTAAATAAACATCTAGCTTTAATTTCTATTCCAATACCCTGGACCTTTCTTTTCCAGCTTTTAACGCCATCGCTATGTATATTTCAAAAAGTGTGGGACCCTAATTCTTGACTTTGGTTCCCTATGTAGTTCATTAATTTTGCTGTCCGTAGTTTTGGTAACAAGTGTCGTATGCTTTTCCAAATTTCCGCCAATTTCCACACACAACTGGTTCTGGTTTGTACATGACTTTCTTGCATTTGCGCTTGATGTTGATGTAAAAAGTATGACTTTCCTGCTCTGAAACCACATTGTTTTTGAGATAGCTCAAAAACTCTGCAATATGGTCTGTTCATTGTGCTTGCACTCGAGATGCCCTTATAGTGATTACCGTCCATTCACGCATTTATCAATTATAACTGTTAAACTAAAAAGCTTCCGAGTTCCATATTTCGGGATTATCTATTTCAAGGTTCATAGCAGCTTTTCTTACCGGATCCGGTATCAGGTATCTCAACTTCCTCTTCTTGTACATTAAGTGTCTTGGAGACAGTTATCTATTCTTATCTAGCTTCCTGAAGTAGATCTTTGTAGTGTTTTAACCATTGTTCGGGTTTAATCACTTGAATGTTCAGCACTGACCGACTTTGCTTGATATGAATTTCCATACGCATTTTCTTTCTGCTATACAGCTATTAATTTCTCATGGCTTGTTTCTTGCTCTGTTAATTTGCACATTTAGCTGCGTTTTTATGACTTCCGACTCTTGTTCATTTTTTGTAGTTAGCCATTTCAGACATTTTTGTGTGAACCATCGAACCCACAACTTGAGTTGTAGAAAGCCATGTGCTGGAAACTAGTTGTCGGACAACTTTGTCGAACAACTCGAAAGGTCTTCTAAATCGACCTCTCTATATATGTCATTAATTTCTGATATTCTAGCTGCTAATAGTAATGGTCAAGAAATAGAATTAGAGTCAGCTAAAAGAGTATTGTTCAATGACAAATTACTTTAAACATTAGCTAATTCATCAGCGGTCATTTTAATAGCACTTAAAGCAATTAAGACAGGATTCTTTGAGTAATATTCCCATAAGTATCCCCAAAAATCCAGCGATGTAGATTTTCCTTTCAACCTTCAAACAAATTTATAGCATAGATAAAATTGTTTTCGTTAAACCAGTGGCGCCCGTAAGACCGTTTTGATTCAATGAAATACTTAAAAAGGTGGTACGATAATGGTTTATTGCAATTTTGTTAATAAATATTCTGGCTAATTATAAACTAATTGACGTACCACTTTTTATTATTTAAATTAGTTAAAACTGTCTCACAGTGGCTACTGATGAAACAAAAACAACTTTATGCTATAAATTTGTTTTTAAGTTTCACCAATACCTACTAGGTTTGAAAGCAAAATATAGTAGAGATTTAAAAAAAAAACGAACTATTTTTTTTACTTATTTTCATCTGCTGAATACGCTGTTAAAGTTTCTCTTTTATAATTCGGATGACCCTGTATATTTATAACAAAAGCGGTGCCTTATGTAACATGTGCGAAACAATAGGCAGCTGGTAATACGCATTGGATGTGACATTACTCATTTTTAATTGTAAAATTCTTATTTATTTCCAATAGGACACGAGGAGGAACGTTTAATACGCATCTGGATATCGCCGCACGGCAAAGACATAAATCTGGAAATTCTGCAGGTTCCCGTGTTCAAGATCGCATATCAGTTTGCGGAAAACAAGTGGTACCACGTATGTCAATCGTGGTCGTCCATCGACGGCTCGTGGAATGCGATAGTAAATAAGGAAATATACAATGGATTCTCCGGCGAGGTATTTAGTCATTCAGACAATAATGCAATTGTTACCGCACTCCAAATGTGAAAACACGTAAAAAGAGCTTTTAACTACACGACGCAATAATATTCAAAGGCGAGTCCGTGATGTAGAAATGATAGCTTCGTCTTTTATTTGAATTTTGCTTTCAAGAAAATTTACCTAGACATTCCTCATTCTCATAAATTTTGCTGAACATTTACTCCAAGTTTACGCCACGTGCTTGACAACTTCTTAGAGCTTGTAATGTGCGCAAATAATTTAATTATTTTAATTTCGAGACTTCTGCAGCACAATAATTAAGAAAAAAAATTTTTTTCGCAATTGAAAATTTTGAACTGTTTGAACATTTTTCGATACTTAAGGTATTGTTATCAGGTGACGGATATTTATAAGAAATTCTAGCTTCGATAAGTTTTTTAATAGCCTTATAAGAAACCATCGGTGTTATAAGTTTTGTAAGACGCCCAAGAATTATCAATACCTTTCCAAAGAAACTTATACTATTTACAAATCTTCTGGATTCCTCATATGTCTGTTCTTTATAAATCAAACTTGCTGACGTTTCGCCAAAGGTTAACTGAAACTGTTACTTAGAAATCCTGGATAAGATCTGAAGAAGCCAAGAAGGCAATTGACGTCAGGAAGTTCGACTCAATATCGACCGACGCAGGAGGAATCCTGAAGATTTGTAAATAGTAAATAGCAATACATTTTAAGTTTCGTAATATTTCCATTACTTTATCTGCAAAACTTTTGGTGTTGTTATGTTGCTTAAAAGTTTTGCAGAGGTTTTTGAAAAGTGAAGTTGAAAATGCATAACTGACATTAAAAATTAAAAAGAAGTTTTTAATTTTAATTAGTTGTTTTTTTTTAATGCTGTTACGAAAGTGTTTATAAACATCTTTTTGGTAACTTATAAAATTATAACTATGAACTGTTCCAAAATCGCATTAGGTTTATTTGGAAGACCAACATTGCTATAGGACACCTAGATAAGTTTTATAAAATTCTCCAGGGAGTTTAATAGTATTTGAATATAATTTTTAAAAATGGAACCTTAAACACAGAACCTTTTATGTGACAGTCAATTTTAAGTTTTTTCGAATAGAATAAATCCCTTAATAAAAAAGAAAAAATATCTCATTTTAGGCAAATATTCCCAAAATTTGAAAACATATTTCGTCAAAAATATACGGGTAAAAATGATATGCAGGTAAAATATAAAATGATTCGGTTAATTGTTCCTGTTAAAATGAAACGCCGTAGCCGTAGGAAACATTAAGAAGTCATAACATTTCCCAAAACATTTCCGTAATAATGCTAATCATGTCAACTATAGAGCAAATGGAAAATACAATGACAAACAGATGATATATAAAAATATGAAGCGAAAATGGAACGTTTTTTGTTTGTTTGTAGGTTGCGAAATTTATAATATAATATATTTAGGTTTTATGGCATTACTATATAAAATGTCTTCATAGTTTAAAGGCAACGACAACCTCTTAGTTGCAAATAAATGGGGAGTAAAAGTTTTAAATAGAACTACAATTTAAGGGTTTTAATGATTTTATAAGGGTAATGAAAACATTTGGCGAACATTGGACAGGTTCTCAGGTTTTATAAAATAGGTCATTGAAACGTAGTCTTCACCAATATGAAACAAATAAATATTAGTTAGAATGGCATGTACATTGCAAAGACTTTCAAAATAGGATGGAAAAGTAGGGCGCATTTTAAAAATTAGAAAGAAGAACAGCGGAAAAAATGAAAGAACGAACAAGTGAAAAACGAGGTGTATAAAAGCACATGGAAGTTCATTTTTCCTTTAAAATTTATGTTAGCTGAAAATGCTCATAGCTCTACAAAATTTTTATTAGAAAAAAATATTGCAAAGATAACTTGATATTATATAAATCACCTCCGGCTGAAACAAAATTGTCCTAAAACTTTTCTCGAATTGTATTTAGCTTTAGCAATTATATTTAGTGGGAATAATTTTTGTTTTGGGAATCCTTCTCCTCGCCACTGACTATCTAACTGCTGTGTATCTTCCATTCTGAATTCAGAAAGCAGCTTGTCATCCCTAAAACGGATATTGCCTGAATAAGTTTTCTTACACATATTTTTGTACGCTTTTTGTTTTTATTTGTTTATTTTTTTGCCGAATATATATCAGAACCGTCGCCTTGCTAAGGCTAAGTACACGTACACTTTTCTTAGCAAACGAACTTGCCACAATAAATTTTAAAACAATTTAGAATACAGTGTAGATAAGCCGGCAATTCGACCACGACCTTCGATAGTAGCTAATTAATTGTAGCTGGTATTTCTATTTTATACTTGTATTGTGTGGTTCATTGGTTGGTTTATAATTTATCAAAGTCATAAGCACCCGAGGCTAATCCAAAATACAAATATGCAAAATGTCCCTTGAATTATAAATTTCTCCAGTAGATTGAATTGAAATTACATATTACATGGTATCTTTTTTGCATGAAATTGAGGTCTTCTGGTACCAACTTTTATGGTACGTGACAGAAACCCAAGTCATTAACCAAAATGTCTTGGGCGGATCCATAGGCAATGTTCAAGTCTTCCGCTATCTGTCAGATGATTAATTTGCGATTACCGACCAACATTTTTGTTACTTTCGGCGACTTTTGAACCGCTCGTGCCACTGATAAACGATAGAATCGTGACCGATTCACTTTTCCAACATTTCCGATGTTCGCGCACCCTTAAAACCGTTTTTAATGCAAAATTTAATATAAGTTCGTTGTTGCAAATTGAAATCCATTTTTATAAAATTGTAAAAAAGCGCCAACACCTACAGAGATAGATGTATTCTTGGCTAGGTAACTTTTGCAAATCTAAAGCCACGACGCTAAGATTTCGAGGGATTCTCAACAACACATGTACCAACTTAACACAAACAAAGAACTGAAGTCAGAACAATGGTTGTGCCACAGTGGTTATTCCGGGAACTTTTTAATTAAGGCATTATGATGTCCAGTCCCAATGACGACATCAGTGCTGTTGAGTACCGCAAGTTATTTGCAAATGGATGCGAGGCTTATACATACCCGCGTGGCATAGGGTGGCAACTTCTACGATCTCACTGCGCGATCCGCTTAATCCGAGTTTTCGCAAAACCAAATTTGCAATGGAAGAACTCTCTCTAATCCCGCATATTTGGCCCGCCATGGTGTAGCGTAGAGGCTTTGTGGGAAAGTTTGCTCATCAAACTTTGTCGGTGGCCTCTTTAAAAACGGAGCTCGGAACTTTTGCAATTAACCGTGCAACTTTCTCGCGAGTAGGAAGTTGTATTTCGCGAATCTTTTGCCAACCGTTTCCGCCGGATGTACGATAAAACAATGAGCCGATCATTTGCATCGTTTTGAAAAAAAGACGATTCTGAAACTATTTGTTACACAAAATTCGAAAAACACATGTTTGTGCTTATGAAAATAATAATAATAATAATAATAATAATAATAATAATGAGGGACGCTCACTATCACCTCCCATTTTCTGCATGGCGCTTTTCCCGCTATCAAATGAATTGAACACTACCAATAGAGGATAGATTCCAGACAAGAAAAAGCGGCCGTTTAACAATCTTTTTTACATTGACGACCTAAAATTATATGCAAAGAATGACAAAGAACTAGAAGACCTTTTTATGACTGTCTAAGTATTTAGTGACGATATACGGATGCAATTTGGTTTGGACAAGTGCGCCAAAATAACAGTAGAACGAGGAAAAACAGCAAAAACTGGCTGAGCATACTTACCACTTGACAATAGGGATCTCAAACTACTTAAGGGAAAAAAAGATGATAGGCTTGTAGAGTTAATAAATTACAACAAATGGAGAGGAAAGAAAAATATACACTTATGAAAAAAGGCCAAAAACTAACAAAACAATATAGAAACACATCTATAAGTGAAATGAAGGGAACCACGGCAGCCCAGAAAGCGAAAAGGCTCAGACAACGATGCAGGAGGAAAATTAAGGAGGAAACAGAACAAAGATGTAAAAACAAAGAAATGCACGTACAGTATGCCAGAGCAGTTGATAAAGATGATATGGACAAGAAGCAGACATTCAGATAGCTGACAACAGGAATATTAAAGGGAGAAACAGAACCTTTAATGGTCGATGCTCAATACCAGGCCATTTCAATCAACTATATCAGAAACAAAATATTCAAAGAAAAAGTAGACGCAAGATGCAGATTTTGCAGACTTGGTAAACAGGCTGCCAAGTCCTAGCAAGGAAAGAAAATCTTGAACTTCACAATAAAGTATGCTTAACACTACATGACAATATCTGTAAACACTACGGTATAGAGGTAGAGGACGCTTGGTACAAACACAAACCCAAAAACGTTGAAGCCAATGGGGAAGTCACAATAATGTGGGACACGGAAGTACAAACCGACAGGACTGTGGTGGCAAATAAACTAGACATTATAATTAAGGACCAGACATGCCTATTTTTCGACGTTGGCATAAGATCAGACGCCACAATAAAAGAGAAGGAATCCGAAAAGTATAAAAAAAGACACATTTAAATTAGACACATGAGTGAAAATTAATATTTAAAGTAAAACCTGAATTATTTTGAAACACATATCTAATGCCTCTCTCAACGTGAACGTAATAAACACATAATATTTGTGGTTCTGTTAAAATATTAGGTTTTACATAGGTTTACAGGATTTGGACATAACTGCTCTTATGACTTATGACGCTTAATATTTGTGGTTCCGTTAAAATATCTCTCTGGTTATGTCATAAATAGATGTAGCTTAGCAACCTCGATTCCAAAGAAGAGCAGTGAGCCTTAAAATTCATGTTTTTATTTATGAATATTCCAGGAAACTTTACATCATATACTGACAGCAAATCTTCACTATTTATCTGAAGCTACATGGCTGCTGGTTACATATAAGTTATTACCATTAAACCAAGAGTTTATCACACTCAAAACCACTTTGCATTTGTCTTCCAGAAATGAATCGCACCGATCCGTCAAGTTAAACGATATGTTTTCGAAGTCGTCCGAACCAAACTCTCTGAACCATCAATAAAGAGGCAAAATACTGGCGCTAATACGGGACGCCAATGATGTATTTCACTTTATTTCAGTGCATACACCATCTGTTTTATACATTAGGCCAACATATTGTTTCCTATAAGTTAAAAAGAACCAAGCAAATTTCAGTTGCGGACTGCTTATACCATTGCAAGACATTTTCCTTCATTAAGTCCTGATTTGCACAATGAAATGCCCTGCTGAGGTCACAGAAGACCTCAACAGGATACTCGCCGGACCTTATAGAGTTTATAATATTTTTCAAGAGAGAAAACCGGTTATCGGATACCATTGCAAATATGCGTACCTAAACTATGGTGACTGTAAACTATTAGTTTTACTACATTTTTTATGTAAATAATTGGAATTGGAATAATTTTTCCAATTCTTGAAGGGAATTTTCCTTCACAAATTTATAAATTTACTATTTACTTCTAAAATTATTATTTATTAAATTAGGTGCATTTCCAGAGACCTCTAGTGTCTCTGTTTTCTCTACCCGTTAACTACAGGCATGCGCATTATCTATATCGAGATTGAAGTTGGATGATTAAAAATTTGCGAAGCACTGTGAGTAATGCTGATATGTGTTTTATATACCCTTCATATTACCCCTAACCCTAAATCAATCAAATGTTTGCGGTAAATATTTCATGTTAATTTCGTTAAATATACTGCGAAACCTGTGATAGAGTTAGTCATGATGTCTCCTGCAGAAGCTGTCGTGGTTGCGTGTGTAGGATCTGAATTTTCCAAAAAAAAAATAGTTTGCAGAGGGGCCGCTTTGGAAATTTTTATAGCATATTCTGGAGTTCCGCAGGGACCAAACCTCGGACCCGTACTTTTTGACATTCTAATTAATGATGTGCCCAGATCTCTACTTGTTTCCCTTGATATACTTTATGCCAACGGTTTTAAATTGTCGATTGATGCAAAAATATATTAGGGAAATGATCAGATAGCAATTATCTCGAAGGAATGGAAAAATACTAGGAAAGAAAAGTTAAATGCGAGATCTTGCGCAATTTTCGATGAGGAACTAAGATTTAATAGACAGATAATTTCAAAGAAGTATCGAATATCTGGGACCCGAAACTCTCAGCTTAGAAGTTTATTAGATTATGGTTCAATATATGCAATATTATATATAAAAAATTATATATATAAAATATATTATTATATATAAAAAAAACAGGAAAAATTACTCATGTAATTTTTACTAATGAATTTTGCAACAAAACACTTAAAAACAGACGCAAAATACAATTAAAATTAATTTTATTTTTGAGCTCCCAAAACCCAATTCTAATTTAGGGCAAGAGAGTCTAGTATATGGAATGTTTAGTTCACTTACTATAGAATTAGGAGATCTTAACATATTTCCATTCAATTTTCAAAGTATTCGCACAAAAATTCCGAACGTTTTTTTATATATGTATTTTCATAAATTAACGCAAAAATTAAATTAACTGTAAAGTGTCAACTAAAGGTGTGATGTATTTTTTTATGATTGTAATATAATATTGGGCGTAAAAATATTCATTACTTACTTAATAAAATAAAAAGACCTTTTTAGGCCATTTATCTTAGACATGGTACATTGTTAGGGTAGAAAATTAACCAACAATGCCGTTTATAAGTGTTGTTGTTATGACGCGGGTTATCTTTTGCTTACAGGCTGCGGCAACTTCAATTAATTTGTAACAAGAAGCAAAAATATTTTATGATTATTAGGTAGTAGGACAAACAAAGTAAGCCGGTTCCAAACTAATCTTTATAGCTGCAGGTTTTATCCGATATAGACGAAATCGATAGTTTCCACTCTGCACTAATAACACGTTACCGGAACTATGTAACAAAAATTAACAGCGATATATTTATTCACTAACAACGAAAAGTCGACTAATTAGGACTAAAGCTACTTTTAAGTTGCTAGTGAAGTAGTCTAGATCTGCTGGATTCCTCCTGCGTTGGTTGTTGATGACCCGAACTTGCTGACATTCGCCCAGTCATCTTGATAATTGCTTCACAGCTAAACTGGGTATGGTTTGCATTCTACTCTGGACCTACTTATATACTCTTCACGAAAGGCGAAAATGACAATAAATCTGTATATTTATTATAAGCCATACATACAGGGTGGTCCATTTAAAAAAATATAATTTTGGTTTCCCACATATTTAGGACTCACAATATTTTTGAGTAATGATACACACTGACACATTATTTGAACACCCTGTATTATGTAGTACGTGGCGCACTTGAATGTCAGATTAAACACCAGATATAAACGGTAGTAACGCCATTTTTACGTTGCAGTTGGTCGGAGCCCCGATAAAATCCGGAGGTGACGTCGTGGTAGGCCAAGAGTACACGGACTTCGACAAAGGCCTGGACGACGGTATCGAAGGCGACGTTGCCGGTTTTAATTTGGTTCGGAGCGCCGTTCGCCCACATCAGGGAACGAAAGAAACGTATTTCAGGCGGAATCACTTCCCCAACAAGCGTGTAATTTACCAGGAAGCGACGAAATATCGTCGTTTCGGGAAACTGCCGAGTCCCGTTAAATCTCTGGGGTTTCTTCTGGTCGAGCTGAGCTATCGTTGCGGCTATTTGAGGGGCGCACCCTTAAGCGGCGACAAGGTCATCGTCAGCTGGACCAAGACGCCGGTGCGAGTGTTCGGCGGTGCCATATTGACCAACGTAAAGCCGTTTTGCGACCGTTGACGTTATTTCCAAAGTAGACTCGAAAACGCGTAATTGATGGGCTGTCAATAGCATTTCCAACGTTGTCACTTTTGTAAAGTTAAAGTCGTTATCAGACAATTCTGTGCGCCGAAATGCTTGTCTTTGGAACGTCTTTTTTGCACATGTACGTGTACAGGGTAGCCCGTTTAATAGGGGCCTATACCTTTTCTTGAAACCTGCAGGGGTTACAAATAAAAAAGAAATACATTTTTGGATAGTCATTTCAAAGACAAATTCAACGATATATATAGCATCTTCAGAATTCAGGTTATCGCTGCTTATTGACTTTTAAAATTTATTACCATCAATTATTTTTAGGAAAATAATCCTTTTCTTTAGGCAATGACCAAATTTAAAATATTTTCTTAAAATACGCGGTGTCGCTTCGTTTCGCAAAATGATACTTTTCTCAATTTTTTTAAATTAGATACCCTGTATATTTTTGGATTTTCGAATAGCCACTTCAATAGCAATTTCAATTATATAACATAGTGCGGGTCTCTGACTTACCGTTTTGGCTTAATTGGCAGATAAAATTAAAAACTGGGTATAAGATTTAAATTATTAAGATATGAAACTGGGAATTAGGTCCTTATCAACTTGTTCACAACGGTTTCAGAGCATTGTTAAGAAGTTATAGTAGAAACAGAATATTGAGCTTTGCACAATGATTCCAAATGTCTCAAATTACTTATTTCTACGTTTAAACCTCTACGTGAAATGATTACAAAAAATTGACGCTAACTACTAATGCATATTACTTACAAGTAAAATTAATTAAATTAGTTTTTTAATATGTCAATCGCTTGGAGACGCAAATCGTTTGCTGCACTTCCAAAACTGTTGACGGTTTATCTTTTTAAACCATATCTTTCAATGTGCCCCACAAAAAAAGTCCATCGGTGACAAATCTAGACTCGTTGCTGGCGGTTTTGTCCAATCCATTGTCTGAAATTTTCGTTTTAAAAACGACCGCAGCATTTCGATGGTAAGGAGCGCCATCTTACTGCAAAATTAAATTTTGGTGCTCTCTTTGGGGAATATTATTACAGAGAACTACTATTGTTTTATTAAGAATAAAGTTTTTTTTCCATTTAGGACTTTATTTAGAAGATTCTTACATTATGAATGTTAAAGAATTTATGTATTATTGGAAAATAATTGGCAATTAAGGTAAGTTACAAATCCTTACTATGTTATATAATTGGAATTGCTATTAAAGGGGCTATTCGAAAATCCAATAATATAGAGGGTGTCTCAATTAATAAAATTAAGAAAAACATCATTTTGCGAAACGTGACACCACTACTAATTTTAAGAAAATATTTTAAATTTATCATTTAATCATTGCCTAAAGAAAAGCACTACCTAACAAAGATGGTTTAAACATCACCCGAATTGTGAAGATGATCGCTATTAAGTTCGTTCGTTGAATTTGTCTTTCAAAGGACTATCCAAAAAATGCAATAAAATGAAGGGTGTTCTATTTAAAAAAATGTAAATGTGTTTTATGAAAAAAAGGTCCTTTTAATAGAAACAACTTTTGTATTTAATTTTTTTTGTAACCCCCGTAGGTTTCGAGTTAAGGTATAGGCCAGTTTTAAACGGGCCACTTCGTACATATAATGTTATAAATATAAATCATAATTTATAAAAATATACAATATGAATTATTTTGCCGAATGTTTTTTTTAGTAAGAGTTAGAAAGTCATGGACTTTATTTTATGAATGATTTTTGGACGTAATTTTTCTCGAGTGATGCGCACAACAAAATATCTATCATCTATCTGTCACACTTGGAAAACAGTGTGGAGTCTTAACGAGCGCACGGTTACCGCTAGTGTAACAAACTAATTTAGCCTCTTTAATAACTATGACACAGGAAAAAAAATCAAATAAAAATTGTTTGACCCTAAATGTTTATTTTATTTATAGTATTTTTATGTATACGGGGTGTTCCATTGTTCCTGGAAGTAACCAACGTTATTTTTTTAAATGAAATACTTTGAATATTTTTTAAAAAAATTAATTATTTGCTTCATTTTGAGTATTTTTTGTCATTACATAGCATACGAAACTTTTAGTAGTTTTTGAGAAAAATGAACTTTTCTATTTTGGAAATATGTGAATTTTTACACTTGAAAACTAAAAGTGGGAATTTTTATTATGGATCCATGGAAGTGCTTAAGATTCAAAAAATGTTTTTTGTAATTGAAAAAACAATTTTTTTAATGGAACACACTATTTTGAGTACTTTTATTGGGTTTGGAATTTAGTTCGGTGTCATTTCAATAGTTTTTATTACAAAAATAGGTAGTTTAGAAGTTCTGGCCAATTTTCTGCAACAACTCGTGTACTTTATTTTAAATCTAACTAAATCTATATAATATCCTATTCTAACTAAGCTTTTTTTAAACACAAATTACCTAAATTCAATATAAAATCAACAAGTAATGCAAGTAAATAAAACTTATTACTAACTACAAAATATTTGCTGTTGCATTAAGTCTTTCTACCCCTCTTCGTATTCTCATTATTAAGTCTCGAACACTATTACACCTATTTTAAGACGAAAAAAGTCCAATGGTATCGAGTCAGGGCTCCGCCTGTATCGATCAATCCAAAATGGAAAACGTCGATTTAAACCATTTCTAGCAGGCACTACTAGATTATCAATTAAACGAGTTCTCCAACAAATTTAAATATCTCTCACCAATCTGAACAAAATCATAAAATCAGGTTCCTATAATTCTATCACGTATAATGCCACACCACACATAAACACTTTTCCGATCCTGTTTCTTAATTTCTTTTACACGATTTTCACTTGAGATACACCAGTAATGAGTATTTTTCCCGTTGAACACATCAGCCGTATTGAAAATCGCGTCATCGGTAAGAATGTCTCTTAGGTACCCCGGCTTGCAGGATAGAACAACCTATATTCTCTTGGGGCTAATGCTGGATTCTTATTAATTTTTCAAAGAAACTTCCACAGGCTACTGTAATGCTTTTTACAAAACTTCTGGATTCTTCCTGCGTCGGTTTTTGATTAGTCCAAATTGCTAAAGTTTCGCCAATCATCCTGTTGGCTTCTTCAGAGCTTGACTGAAACTGGCTCGCACTTTATTTTTATATATTGCTTGAGGGGGGGGGGAAGGAACAGAGTAATTTTACGAGCCAGTTTGAGTCAAGCTCTGAAGAAGCCAACAGGATGATTGGCGAAACCTCAGCAATTTCAACTAAGCGAAAACCGACGCAGGAGGAATCCAGAAGTTTTGTAAAAAGCTGGACTATTATAATTTCTCATGTAACATTCATGAAGATCTAAACACTCTTGAACACTTTAAAAACGAATTTTCCTTTTAAATATAAATGGGTGACAACTAAATGTTAAATAAAAACTGCATTTCTGTCCAGGCAACAAACAACACAAAGGCAAAGTATAAGATTTATATAGATCGTTCAAACAAATTATTGATTTTGCACATATTATTTTGCATTATCTTCCTATTTGCTCTTTAAAAGTTAGTGTTTAAAGTCAACATTTTGAAGCAGTACAAATTCTGAAACTGTTTTAGAATGTGAACTTATGGTAACGACTGTCGTAAGTTTATCTTTTGAAGTTCCACCTGCAAAAGCACCCCATATGTCAAGTTTAGTTATGCCTAAAGCAACATATAAAAAGAAAACATAATCAATCTGTTCACTTTCAAGTGATTTATATGAAGGATGGAGATTTGTTTTCTTTTTTTTTCAATGATATATTAAAGATTGCAATTTTTGTAAATTTAAGTGGTCAAGGAACATCTATAAAAAGCATGACCGATGTTAAGAAAAACCTATCGTTCGCTTCCGTTTTATTTTTTATTTTGTACCAACCATCTGTTCTGTCATACTTTCTCCAGTTAGATTTACACATGGTAATAATAAATCTTTCGCTGTTTTTCATTTGCATTTACAGAAAAAATAGAAATATACAGTATGGATTGGAAACATCCCCGTAAAAGTTTAAGTTATTATCCCATTTCAAGCGATTTTTAAAAAATGATAAAGTACTAAAAGGTCAAATGCGGCACAAAATTTAAAATATTTCTATTCGTATTGCAATAATCAGCGAATACTATATTTTTTTCGGCAATTTTTCTATTTCAAAAATGAGTACACGACTACTTAGGTGTTTGACTGACAGTGTTCGAAGTGTTTTCGGAGCGCGAGCATTGAAGATGCCAAGTGGCGAAACGTCTGCAGGATTCCAGTCGGAGTTCAACAAGCGAACAGATGATATCCCGGAATATAGTGTCACATATATATATATATATATATATATATATATATATATATATATATATATATATATATATATATATATATATATATATATATATATATATATATATATATATATATATATATATATATATATATATATATATATATATATATATATATATATATATATATATATATATTATATTATAAATAAAGCTTTTTTTGTATGCTGCAGTTCTGTGCTTCGGGATTAAAAATTTCAATTTATTTCTGGTATCTCTGTTATGCATATCAGAGTTCAGCCTCAATTTATTTTTAAGGCTTTCTAAAGTAAGAACAGAGTTTTTTGCTACACCATGTACCAAAACGACCCAAACGATAGATTCTTCCATAAAACATGTTCAACCATGGAAGTTATGAGAACCGGCATTTAAGATGTTCAAGGAACAAAGTGTTTGATAAGGGTTGAAATTTTTCCTTCGAGCCGGAATATCGAAGGTCTACTAAAAGTGGATAAACGGCGATCGCCCTCGCCCAATTTCCATTAAGCGGCTCTGAAATAAAAGAAAATAAATTTTACGGCGAGACAATGAACATCGCCGCGACGCGACGTCTATTTAAGTGCGGCAAACCGCGACGGTTTGTATTTCCTCCGTTTGTTTATTATTATCGTAAGCGTGAGTAAGCGTTTCAGGTCGGAACGAATCGCGATCGATACGATTTTCTACAATAATTCGTGCCTCGTCTCTCGAAGCACGATTGCCGCGACCCCGATAATTTATTTGGCAGTTGGTTGCATCGCGTTCGCGTTTTACAGGCGCTGCGTTAGCGAAAAGGACGTGTGGTGTGGCATCTGCGACGTCATCGTTGATCCCTCCGATGCACCGTTGCCGTTTGTTATGCGTTTTCTTTTAATCGGGATTTTTGCGACTCAATATCGAATATATTTATTTCAAAATCAGGAATTGGATTTAAAAAAAAATGTTAGCACGCAAATGTTGATACAAAGTTCATTTTAAGCGGAACGCCATTTTTTAAAATCCATTTTTGAATTCTGCGGCAAATTTCACGGATAATAGGGAACGAACAAAATTATTTAAAAACAATGAAAATCGTAAGATGTTATCAAAAGCAAGTTCCAATAAAACAGAAAAATTCCAATCACAATTAAATTACCTGAAAAATAAAGGTTAGAAATTTGAACAATTTTGCCTGCTCTTAAAACGCGCTGCCATTGAGGGTGACGTCAGACCGTTGTATGTCGATCTAGGCGCACGTATGCAAATAACACTTAAAGTAATCAATACTCGTTAATCGAACGTGGAGTTCTTTTCGGAGAAAGTTCTTTTTAATTGTGCTTGATTTGATGTTTGGTAGTTCGATTAAAGACTGAAAATTTTTGTTAAACTGAAGTTTGTGGTGTAGAGGCTAGTCTGTCTCAATTTTCATCGTGCTGACTTTTGCAAGAACAAGAACCTGGTCATATAGACTCACAAGACTAAAAAAGCGTACAGAATCCTCAGATTTAAGAAGCTTAGTGGCCTAAACTGCTGTTTCTCCCCGAATATCACGCTACAAAGTTTAAAAAATTAACTAGACGACATAAGGAAGGAGAATAAAAATGTCTTGATCGCCGTGGATATACACTTTAAATCCCCACTATGGGGATTAAATGTCACCGACGCTAGGGGTGATTACCTCTCTGAGTGGATGGCAGCCCTGGACTTGGCGGTCTGGAACAACTCGAGACCCACGTTACTCACAGGTTGCAGTTCTTCTCATATTGATGTTACGCTGTGCTCATCGAGGAGCTGGGATGTTCTGAGCGAGGAGTCCCTGAGCCTGCACAGGTACATATGCTTCGGCATCGGTAGACCGAGCCCAAAGTCACACTGAGAAGACGCGAAGAAAATAACCTTAATTAGAAAAAAAAATTTATAGGGACACTCTGCTTCGCAGGAGTTTGCACAGGCTCCCACACAGAACAGCTGCGAACCAGAAGCAACAAGGATCGGAGACGCCTAGCGAGAGCCAGAGCAGCCAGGGTTGACACCAAGTCCGCCTATAAGCGAACAAGGAAGGAATACAGGCCAGACATACAAAAATCAAAAAAGAAACACTTGAAGTCTTTGTGCGAAGTATAGACACGTGAGTAAATTCTTCCCAAGAAAATTAGACTGGTGGCTCAGAGACGAACCGGGCTACACGGCGGATCTTATTAGCACTAAAGAACTGCTGGGAGCAGTGCATAGGCTTAAGTCGGGCAAAGCCCCCGACTCCGATCGGATCACTCTGCAAGCAGTAAAGAAGGCACTGCCCCATAAACCATCCGGTGCCTCATGAACGACCTTATTAGCACACAAACTTTCCAGAGCTAATGCAAAAAGGCGAACATTACTCTTCCAGGCCTATTTGCTTGCTAGACTCACTGGGAAAATTTTGCGAATATATCGTGAAAGACAGACTGGAATTGGAATTAGAAGAAAAGGAGAGACTGACGGTCACACAACATGGATTCAGAAAAGGCAAATCTGAGCATCGCAAATCACTGCGAAAGAAAATGGGCAGTGGTTGTCGCTATGGACGTTAATAACGCTTTCAACACGGCTACCTGGCGCGAAATCACTAGGGGACT